AAGGCTTTGGAGAGAAAGAAAAAGAGTTCTTTGAGGGACAAAGCTGACAGAACCGCACACAGACAAACACAGCGAGAGAAAACTAAATGGAAAATGTTGAAGCTCTCTCTGTTTCTCTCTCTCTCTCTCTGTTTCTCTCTCTCTCTCTCTGTTTCTATTTCTCTCTCTTTCTCTCTCTCTCTGTTTCTATTTCTCTCTCTTTCTCTCTCTCTGTTTCTATTTCTCTCTCTCTCTCTCTCTTTCTGTTTCTCTCTCTCTCTTTCTATTTCTCTCTCTTTCTCTCTCTCTCTTTCTGTTTCTCTCTCTTTCTCTCTCTCTCTTTCTCTCTTTCTATTTCTCTCTCTTTCTCTCTCTCTCTTTCTCTCTTTCTGTTTCTCTCTCTTTCTCTCTCTCTCAGTTCAGTTTTCTGCTCTCTCTTCATCTCTGGTTCTCGTCAGAATCAGAATTTTATTCCTGCTTTTCTGGACCGATTTAACAAACAGGAACTACGTTTCCCATGATGCTGCTGGGCTGTTAACGCTGACCTCTGACCTCTGGATGTGAATCAGATGAATGTTGTGGATCACAGTGACATTAGTTGGTTGGTTTCATTCAGCAGCTTTAAAACATTAAACTGTAATTTATGCAGTGCTTCAGTCTGCAGGCAGGGGGCAGCAGAGAGCGCAGGTGTTGCTCAGAGTCACCTGGACTCAGAAAGGCTGTTAGCATCAGAGCTAACATGTTAGCTTCATTCTGCTGCTGTAAAGGGGAATCATGTATTAATGGAGACATTTTGATATAATAAAGTGACCATGTTTCCTTCAGCTGCATATTAAATATGACTGAAAACTAATTATTTAATGCCCCTGGTTTATCTCCATCCATGTTCCCCACAGCCTGATGCTGCCACCACCATGTTTCACTGTGGGCCCAGCGCAGCATCACTGATCAAACTTTGCCTCAGGATCTCAGAGCGAAACGTTTCCGTCTCTAATGACTCCAGGTTTTTCCTCGGTGAGGTCACACGCTCAGACGTTGGGATCATCGGCTCCATGTGGGCCGGCAGCTGCTGAGACACAACATGTCTGTCCGACTCGGTGGGAATGTTTTCCTGCTCCCGCAGTCTGAGCGGAAACCCGATCCGGAAAGTCCAACACGAGCAAAATCACTGTGGAGTCTGGAAGCGACGCTTCTCTGAGTCCAAAGGTGATGTTCCCAAAACACAAAGAATACCAGCAAAAATCATCCAGTTTTATAAATGAAGCACAAAGAATATCTGAACCAGGATCCGGCCGGTCAGCTTTGGTTCATTCAGGACGGATTTCAGGGTTTAGTTTTATAATTTTGATGATTCAGGGAATAAAAACTTAAATGTTGGAACCTCGTCATCTAATGAACTCCGACCATAAAAGGTCACAAAGAAGAAGAAGCTGCTTGTTCAGAGTTCTGAATGCAAGGATGTTATAGAAAGTTGAGTGGAAGGAAGAAATGTGAAAGGTGCCTCTGCAGCTTAAAGAGGATTGTTTGAAATCCATCCAATAATTTAGAGGAGCTTCAGCAGTGACTGAGGATAGAGTCAGAACATCTAGATCCGCTTGGCTCAATGAGATCCAGAAGCAGAACCAGGAACATGGACTCTCGAGGTTAGCCACAGAGCCTTATGGGTAATCAGGATGAGGCTAACTGTCTGACTGAATCGTTCCTGAACGTCTTCAGGGAACAACAGGAAGTCGGTTCTGATTCTTTTGGGCCGTTGGAGCCGATTGTGAATCAAACCAGCAGCAGAGCAGCTCATTCACAAACAGACGGCAAAGAAAGAGACGCAGACAGAAACCCTCTCCTCCTCCTCCTCCTCCTCCTCCTCCTCCTCCTCTTCTTCCTCCTCCTCCTCCCCTTCTTCCTCCTCCTCCTCCTCCTCTCTCCGCAGCGCAGAAACATGGAGGCGACGCGGAGCCGCACTGAGCCGCGCTGCTTACCCTCCAGCCGCTGATCGGCGGCCTGTCACCGTTACTCCATCGCCATGGAGACCGGGGTCTGAGTAATCATTTGTGCAATGACCCCTATTCTCCAGAGGGAAGACGAGGGGGGAGGATGGAGTGAAAACAGAGCCGGAGGAGGCGGAGGAAGAGAGGGAGCAGCGCAGCAGGAACCAGAAAAATAAAAACAGGTTTTATTTGGTTCTGCTGCTACACAACAAACTGGAGTTTTATCCGAACTGAGCTTCAGGTCCAGATTCTACCAGGACAAAGTGAAATGGACCGAGACAAAAAGACAAAACCATCAGAGAGAGAATCTGCAGTAAGCAGAGGCAGTGACGCGCTGCGGCCTGCAGGGGGAGCCAGAGAGGAACATGGACGGTTACAGCCGAAGTTCTTTTATTTAACACAAAAGGTTAAGAATAATAATAATAAAATATTATTCCTGCGTGTTTTTATTCCTTTAGGCCCACTTTGGTGGAAATGTTTCTGTGGGGGCGGAGCTAAACTTCCACATCGGGTTTAAATCCACTTGAAAGATTGTTCTATAAGTGGAAAACTCTTACTGTCTGCCAGATGAAGCAGAAATTGCAAATCTCAGTATGGCTTGTTGAAACTGTGAACGTTGATCTAGGTAGGATGCAAATTAGCGACATCAGGAAGAAACTGTCATAAATGCATTTAAATCAGTTTCCAGTCTCCGGTGAGCAGATTACAAAGTCTGGACTAAAATCTACTTCAGATACTTTGAAGATTGTTCCTGCTGGAAATCGTTCAATGTGTTTGAAAGAAACCAATTCATCTAAGCAGAGCAGGCTAAAGAAACAAACTGATGAACCTCTGGTCGGTTTCATGACCCAGTTCTTTTTTTTTAGGTTTTATTGGCTCTGGCCTTTATTTGATAGTTAATTGACAAGAAAGTGGGAAATGAGAGAACAGCCACGTCAAGGACTAAGTCCTCCATATGTGGGTTGTGCTTAACCCCTCTGCCACCACAGCACACCTTATGTCCCAGTTCTGAACCTGTTGGTTCAGTTTAATCCTAAACTTTTAAGATTTTTATTATAATATTTGGATTTTACTTCATAATATTTTGATTCATAACCTGAAAGACAACGTCTGAATGTATAATCCTGTGAAAGGAAACAGTGAATGTTTCTCTGCTCTGAATGTTAGAAACCCTTTAAGATCCTTCCTGACCTAAATCTGTCCTAATTAAAGTCAACACTTGGACACCTCGCTGTGATTAGATGTTCAGTGTTTCCTTCCCAGCCAGCAGTGAAGACAAACAGCTAACAGCTAACAGCTAACAGCTCCTCCTCTGGAAGGAGAGATGAGCCTCTGTCAGGCTCTGCATTCATCATCCAGAGAACTGAGAACATTAATAGCAGATGTTTTCCCCTCCGCTCTGCTCTCTCTCTCTCTCTCTCTCTCTCTCTCTCTCTCTCTCTCTCTCTCTCTCTCTCTCTCTCTAAGTAATATCTTCTCTCCCTCTGCGGCCGCAGCTCCGTTATTCCCTCTAAATAACAGAGCCTCTAATCACAAAGAGGAAAACTGGAGCTGCACTGGCCTCTACAGGTTCAGCGCAGGTTACTGCAGTCACTCCGAGGGGCTCCTGGTCCTGGATCACCTGCAGGGGCCACAGACGCTTCCTGCTGCCGGTGCAGCCGCGGCGCCGCCCTCACCTGCCGGACGTCCCGGCTGTGACGGTGACCAGGAGGCAGACCCTCCGCAGGTTGATGCGTTCAGGCTCCGGTCAGGATGAGTTTGAGTTCCTGTTGGAATCAGGAATGTTGGATGTTCTCAGCCTCTGATTGGCTGAAGCCTCCTGCAGGGAGCCACCATCTAGCGGCCATCAGGACCTTCAGCAGCAGAGAGGATGAAGTTTAACAGAAACGCTCCTGAGGGCCAAACTCACCCGGCTCAGCCTGAGCTTCAGCTTCCGGGTTCAGAACCGGAATTTAAGATTTAGATTCAGGATGAAGGACGTCACTTCCCTCTGAACGCAGAAACGTTTCCAGGAAACGAGAACCCACTTCCTGTCTAACATTCCTGCCGTTTCCTGAACCAAACACACATTTCCTGTCAAGTTGACCGGAAATCACTTCATCCAAAAATTAACAAAAAATATACCATGAGTTAAAATACAGACTATTTAGCATATTTATTTGAAGCACAGCTATTTAGTATGAGAGCTATAGAAATTTGATGTATTATTATTTTATAATCTCGTCTTCCTCCAGTAATCCTCTGAATCCAGCCGCTGAGTTTCGTGAACTTTTCTCTCTGGATCTCAGAACAAGTTTTCCTGAAATCAGGACTTTCCTGTCAGGCTGCCTGCTGGATTTGAATAGTTCAGAGGAGCCGCCAGCCGCTGATTGGTCCGCAGGGAGGGCTGCTTTGAGCGCGCGGCTGTCTGTCAACGGAACGCTGACCGCTGATTGGCCGGTTGCGGCGGGGGGCGGGCTCAGCGCGGGGTATAAACGCAGGGTCAGCCTCCTGAGCGGCTGGAAATGAGTGCTGGTCCTCAGCGGCGCCGCGGCGTCTCCGATGTTTCCACTCACAGCTGACTGGAGCAGTTCAGCCAGAACCGAGCCCGAGCAGTGACAGGCGGTTCCGGAGCCGGATGGAGGTGGACCGGGGCGCCATGGAGTGCGCCGTGGACGCGCAGAGCCTGATCTCCATGTCCCTGATGAAGATCCACAGCTCCCGGACGCAGCGCGGCGGCATCAAGCTGCACAAGAACCTGCTGGTCTCCTACGTGCTGCGCAACGCGCGCCAGCTCTACATCAAGGAGAAGTACGCGGAGATCTACCGGATGCAGCAGTACGAGGAGGTGATGGCGGTCTGCAGCGGGATCCAGGAGCTGGACCCGCTAGAGCCGCTGGAGCCGCAGGGCGCGGAGGACGCGGAGCCGGAGCAGCCGGTGCGCGCCGCGGGCTGCGGGGAGGAGAGCCGGGCGGCGGGCGGCCGGGAGCCGGAGCCGCCGTACTACCGGAGCTGCTGCATGGAGGACCAGTTCTCCCAGAACTGCAACAAAACCACCGTGCTGGACCTGGACACGCACGTGGTGACCACTGTGGAGAACGGCTTCCTGCACCAGGACTGCTGCTGCGCCGCCGCGGCCGCCGCGCCGCAGTGCGCGCCGGGCGCCGCGGCCAGGAAGCGGAAGGTGGACTCCGCCGGCTGCTCGCCGGACGCGGAGGAGCCGTCGGACTACACGGCGGGGCGGAAGCGGTTGAAACGGGAGGAGTGCTCCGGCGCGGACTGCAGCCCGGACGCCTCCAACATCTCCAACCTGATCTCCATCTTCGGCTCCGGCTTCTCGGGGCTGCTGAGCCGCCAGGCCGACCTGGAGCAGGTCTGCAGCAAGCAGGCGCTGGCCAGCCTGGGCGCCTGGACCCGGGCCATCGTGGCGTTCTGAGCCGCCTCTTCGTGACGGACCGTTTCGTACCATGTCCGATGCGCTGATTTGTAACATTTTTATTTCGTCATGAATTTAAATGGTCATAAATGTTCCGATGTTCGGTTGGTTCTGATCTGGTTCGGTTCGACAGAGTCAGAATCAGCTGTTTCATGCCCGGGTACGAAATGGCGCAGGGACGGAACGAGCACGACGGAAGGGAGACCGGGCTCAGCTGTTCTGTGTGGGAACATTTCAGAGGCAGGTCCAGAGTTTACACGGTGGGGGGCCTGGGGGCCGGGGGCCGTTTTGCACATCCGGGAGGCTGGAGGTCCTCCACACTTCTTCTTCTGTGTCCCATTTCTGTAGTTACACAGTAAAAAATGAACAGCAATAATTTGGTTTATTTTAACGATAAAAGAGAAAAATGTGGATAGTCATGTTTTCACCGCCATATTCCTACATTTATAAATGTCAGAATTTTAAAAAGAATATTAAATTAATAAGCTAAATATTTAACTTTCAAATAAAACTTTTAGTAACAAAGATAAATATTTAGTTTTTGAACTAGATATTCACCTCAACATTAAATATTTAGGGCTGTTCAAAGTCCTATTTTCATCGGTTTTCCTACATTTATATCAGAGTTGCAAACTAAATATTTACAAACTAAATGTAGGAATAACATGGTGTGTTTTCTGGCTCAATAATCTGAATCATTGTTGGTGTTTTGCTGTGTGGCTGTAGACATGTCTGCTGATCCAACAGGAAGTGACACGTTTGCAGGTTTCAGGTCGAGTCGGCCATCTTGGTTCGCCTGACATCAGCAGCGGTGGCGCAGGCCTGAACTGGTCCAGGTTTTACCTCAGAGCAGCGAGTCTCAACGGAACCAGGAAGTGGAGGATGCAGCTGAGCCTGGCCTCAGAACCGGGTCATCCCTGAGGAACTCCTATTGCCTTAACCCTGAAGTTCGCTGAGCGTTTTCAGCAACATGTTGGAGAAACAGACTCTGGATCTCAAACGTGGCTTTGTTTCCTTCATGGCCGCCGTTCTGTTGAGTCCCGGCTCGGTTCTGTGGGTCCAAACGTTGTGAGAACGGATCAGAATTAGTCCTTTTGTTTTAGAAAGGGAAGCTCCTGGTTTCAGCATCAACCCGAGGATCCTGCGCTAGCTTTATGAGCACTATGTGTACCAAACAGAGAACTCAGCCATTCTCCACATATTTTCTTTCTTATTCTTGTATTTTTGTGCTTAATAAATTGTATATCTCCGGGTCAAACTGTTCAAGAAAGTATTTGTTAAAATTTATAATCTTAATAAAAAATAAAAGTCTTTCATCTGAACTGTCGTATTTGAGTTTCAGCAGGATTAAAATAAGAATCAGGAGAAACAAGTTAAAATCCTCTGAGAATCGATGAACCTCAGATGATTTAAGATGAACTAAACATTTAGAGGAAAGTTTCTGCATGGATTTCTGAGGTCTGGACTTTGACTAGGCCATTAAAACATCTTTTCTGTTGTAGATTGGACACATTTAACTCTGGAATATTTTGGTTTTATAAATGAGTTTATGATCCTGTAGTGATGAAACCGCTAGCTAGAAAGCTAGCTGTGTCAAACCTTAAGCTCCAATCACAAACACTAGCTCTGCTAATGCTAGAGTGCTACACCAACAAGCCATTTAAAACATAGCAATGCTAAAGAAGCTAACATTAAGTGCTATTCAATCAAGGTATTTAGGAAGCTAAAGCTAAAGTGCTATAACACATTATGTAGTACAGCTAAAGCGCTATCCCAGTGACATTTAGCTGAAGCTAACACAGAACATGAGGAGAGAAAATGAAACTTCAACCATTTCAAAATAAGAGCATGAACATAAGCAGCTAACTTATTTATCGTTCAGTAACTGAAACTTCAAAACAGACGCTGAATTTTATTCAACTGAAAGTTTATAAAACAGTAAATTAGCACTTTATTATTAACCTGGACACATTCATTTACAGGAAGCTAAGTGTGCTAAATGTTAGCAAAAGTGCTAAAATGCTGACAGCAGGAGTGAGCTGTTTTTCCTACATGTTTCACTTGGTTCCAGAATCTTGTGTTTGCTAATGTCAGTCCGGCAGCCATCTTGTTTCTAGAGAGATTATTCCTCCTTCAGTCCCTCCAAGCAGCAATGCTGGTTCTCCTGACCTTTGACCTTCAGCCTGCTAACAGAGCCCAGTAGAGCTGTTGGGTTTCTGGTCATTTCTCTGATCTGAACCTGCCGAGACGCCTGAGATGTTTTCCTCTCTTCAGATGGTTTGGAGATGACCTTTGACCTTTGAACCCTTCTTAGATTGATGACAGAGTCGTTGCTGATGTCTTCCCGCCCTGCTGTTGTGCTAACAGCTGCTAACTGAACATGAAGAGATTAATTTATTTCTCCTCCATTTTGGATTATTAATATCATCTGACACGTTTTTAAACATCTTAGGATTTTTTTTATCTATTTTTCAGGTCATATTATCATATAAATGTAATTAAACTTATTATTTAAGCCTAAAATATATATTTTAAACTGATTAGAGGTGTTAAATAGACAGAATAGTGAAGTAGTGCGGGTTGGAGCGCTCTTCCTGCTTTACTTTGACTAGACTGCCTGCCTGCTGTTATCTCTGCTCTGTGCCACTTGGTGGAGTTCTTTAAAATCAATGAATGAAGATATCAGCGTCACGGAGCGGAGCCACCGCAAGCCCACCTCCTTCCTCCTCCTCCTCCTCCTCTGCTGCTCTGCAGGGCGGAGGATGAAGATGAGGATGATGATGATGACGTTTGTCCAGATTTAAACGATGAAGATGGATCCGGTTGAAAGTAGAACCGGATCGGGGTTTGGTTCTGAAGCCGTTTGTCTTCACGAGACACACACACACACACACACACACACACACACACACACACACACACACACACACACACACACACACACAGATCTGATTTTCGTCACATTGTTTGTTTTTATCTTTTAGATTAAATAAATCAAAACATTCAGGCGCCGATAATCAATAAACATGTTTTATTTTTACCGGTTTGTTTTCGGGGGGGGGGGGGGGGGGGCTGAGCCGGAGAACGGGGGGGGGGGCGCACCGCGGGCTG